GGACATCTGTAATACTTTCAACAATAAAGGTAAATTTTTAAAAATATATATTTAATATCCCAGAAAAAAAAAAAAAGAGTGTAGATCAAGAAAAGTATTTTGCTATTTTCTTACTTTTCCCAATTTTCCTTTAGGCTTCACATGATGCTCCATTTTGGCCAGCAGAGGCCACTAAGGAGCAGAAAGTGCGACAGAATTGTGACTGTGCTAAGATATGGTTGCCGAAAGGTCACAAATAGCCCTGCAGTCTTGCTGGCTTGTGTCAGGTGAAGATTTCATGCTTGGAATAAACCAAATATTTGAGGGAAAGAAGTGTCTGTGTCATTTGCATTATATTTTTTTCCACCATATGCCATCCCCTTCAAATTCAAAGAAACATTTGAGAATTTTAGTTAACTGCATTGTTTGGTGAACTTTTACTTTAAAAACTGTATAAAACCCAACAAAAAGACATAGTCCCCACTCAGGAAATGATGATGTCTTTGAGGAATCCTGTGGTTAATTACAGGCTTTTAATGTTTTTTCTAATTCTTTTCAGTTTGCAGGCCTTTCAGATATATCTATCTCACAAGACATCCCTGTGGAAGGAGAAATCACCATTCCTCTGAGATCTCGCATTCGGGAATTTGACAGCTCCACATTAAATGAATCAGTTCAGAATACCATCGTAAGTTTGACTAGTTGAAAGAATTTCTGTTCAATATCAGGGGACTAAGTAACTAATAGTACTTTGTAATATTTTTGTTTGATTCATTGATCTTCAGTATATTTTATTTATTGAAATTTCAGATTCTCTAGAATAATTTGGTACAGTCTTTGGGATCGGTTTAGCTACAATGGGTTTTAAGAATCTTAAAATTTCCAAATCTTTTTAAGCTGATAGTTCTGCTTCTCCAGATAGAGTATAAAGAAAAAATTTTTTAAATAGAAAAATAATTTTTAAAAATACTGAAAAATATTATTATGCAAAAATGTTCATTACAACATTCTTTATAATAGGGAAAAGTTGAAAAACAGGTTAAGTAAGTTATGTTACATCTATGTGGTAGAATGCTAAACAACCATTAAAAATTATGTTTATAGCAAATTATTAATGACATGAAGAAATTCTAGGTGAAAATTTAAGATGGAATTATCTTAACTATATTTTGAGAGGTTATATTACCATACTTTTATCAAATGTCTTGATTATTAGTTAATCTGGCTTCTAGGATTTATTTGCCAGTTAAATTGGGAGTATTGAAAATTATTTTGTATATTGTGGAGAATATGGTGGCTAGGGAGCATGCTGATTTGCCCTTGGGATGTCATTGTGTATAAACTGAAAGTCAGATGCTTTGTTTTGCAGAACAGATTTTAGTTTCTATAAGTAACATATTAGGAGGGCTACATTTCTCTTTTACAGAGTTTTAGAAATCAAAACAAGACTGGTAGATATGGTAAAGAGTTAGATGTTGACTTAAGGAGTTCATAGAAAAAAAACTGCCTCTCTGGTTTGTTTGTATAGTGAAGGGGCTGAACTCGAATTTTAGCTCTAAAATTCAACAAAGGACTCCCAGGAGATTGAAATAAAAGAAATTTTAGCAAATTAAGAGGCTGTCTGGTAACCTTGGATCCCACAATATAATAGTTGTTTATGTCTTTCAGATGCGTGATCTAAAAGCTGTTGGGAAAAAATTCATGCATGTTTTGTACCCAAGGAAAAGTAATACTCTTTTGAGAGATTGTAAGTATGAGGTTTTTGAGGATTTGCTGCTTCTCATCATACCTTATCATAAGTACTTTATAAGGCATGGGCTCTGTGGTAATAAAACTGACATCATTTTGCAGTATAAAAAAGTATATAAATGAATATATAAATGAAATTTTTGGAAGAAGTTAAAAATTTAGAATGGAATTTCAGAGATTGTCCTCACCTATAAATATACACTGTATCCTTACCTGCTATAATAGACACTGTAAAAAATATTTCTGGAAGCTGTGAACACACAGGAACTTTGTTCACCAAAAGGGCTAACAATCCCCAAGGAAAAGGCAAAATGTTCAACTATTAAATTAGAATAATAGCTATACCCATTAAGGATTAACAAATTTAATAGTACCTTTGTTGACATTTCTATTTTTAGAACTATCACTTAGTCTTATGACTGCTTTCTTTGTTCAAGATTTCTATCAACAATGTTTGCAATAAATTATGCTGTTATTTAGAATTTATTCTTCAAAATATTAGACCTTTTTCTTTTCTTATCAAGCATTATTGGTTTTCTTAGTACCCTGTGTCAGAAAAAATGAATTAGCTCTTTGAGAATAGTGGCAATGATGAACATGAGTGTACTTTCTATTTTGACAGCATTCCAGCTGTAATATAGGGATGTCAAATGTGTGGCAATGTGCTATCAGTCTGGGTGAAGACTGGATGTAGCGTCAGAATCGTTTTCAACACAGTGCACTGTGGGCTGGAGCTGACAGATGATTTGCTTCCATTAGTATATAATGGAAAGAACATGGACAAATCTGAATTTAAATAGTGGTCACACCACTAGCTGTGTGATCTTGGATAAGACAGTTAACTTTTCTGAGGCTCAAGTTTCTTCCTCTGTTAAAGTGCAGATAATAACATGGAACTACTAGTAAGGGTTAGAGATGATAGTGCATATCAACCACCTTGCACAGCATCTGGCATTTAGTAGGCACTCCATAAATGACAGCTATTACTCTAGTGCCTTTCTGTTCCTTCGACACATCATTTTTAATCCTTACAACAACCTTGTGAAAGAGGAGTTATTGTTTGTGTTTCACAGATTAAGAAAGTGAGTCTCAGAGAAGCTGAGTGCCTTGTCAAGATCACACAGGCAGGATTAGAACCCAATTTTCAAGTTCAGCACCTTTTCCAATCTACCACTGCTACCCCAGATGTGAAGATCCTTTTAACTGCTGCTCTGGTTCAGTTCAAAGCAAGGTTGCCTCTCACAATATAGAACACAAGTGTGTTAGTTTGCTGATTAATGATGAATATTAGCTTATGTCATATGTTAAGGTCCATTCTCAAACCTTGTTGGGGTGGGTAGATAGACTGGCACAAAGGGTGAGCAAGTCATGGCCAGAGTTTGCACTTCTGCCCTGCCCTGTTATAGCCCTTGGCAAAGTGGCAAGGAAAAAATTCATGACTTAAAAATTAATCTAAACCCCCCCGCCAACAATGCAATAAAATACTACTTCATACCCATTAGGATAGCTGTTACCAATCAAAGAAGCAGAAAATAACATGTTGGTGAGGATAAGGAAAAATTGGAACCCCTATATGTTGCTGTTGGTGGTGGGGGTGTAAAATGGTGCAGCCACTATAAAATAGTATGGTGATTCCTCAAAAAATTAACAATAGAATAATTCCAGCAATTTCACTTATGGATGTACACCCAAAAGAATTGAAAGCAGGGACTTGAACAGATATTTGTACACCCATGTTCATAACAGCATTATTCACAGTAGCCAAGAGGTGGAAAGATCTTAGACATTCATCAATGGATGGATGAATAGACAAAATGTGGTATATACACCATGATACGTACCATAAATGGATAGAATATTACTCAGCCATAAAAAGGAGCAAAACTCTGACACATGCTGCAACATGGATAAACCTTGAAGACATGATGCTATGTGAAATATGCCAGACACAAAAGGACATATATTCTATGATTCCACTCATATGAGGTACCTAGAGTAATCAAATTTATTGAGACAGAAAGTAAAATGATAGCTGCCAGGGGCTAGGGGGAGAGTGGACAGTTACTGTTTAATGGGTTGAAGTTTCAGTTTGGGAAGATGAAAAAGCTCTGGAGATAGATGGTGGTGATTGTTGTGCAACAATGAATGTACTCAATACTGGTACACTTAAAAGTGACTGAGCCCTAGTGGTTTGGCTCAGTGGTTAGAGCGTCAGCCTGAGGACTGAAGGGTCATGGGTTCGATTCTAGTCAAGGGCACGTACCTTGGTTGCAGGCTCCATCCCTGGCCCTGGTCAGGTCATGTGTGGGAGGCAACAAATCAATGTGTTTCTCTCACATCAATGTTTCTCTCTCTGTCTCTCCCCCTCCCTTCCACTCTCTCTAAAAAATTCAATGGAAAAAATATTCTTGGGAGAGGATTAACAAATAAACAAAAAAGTGACAAAAATGGTGAACTTTGTGATTTTTTTTACAACAATAAGAAAATAGTTTTAGAATGCTGTTACAGAGCACTGGCCAGGTGGCTCAGTTGGTTGGAGTGTTGCCCTGTACCCCAAAAGGTTTTGGGTTTGATTCCCGGTCAGGGCACATCCCCAGGTTGCAGGCTCCATCTCCAGTCTGTGTGTGTGTGTGAGGCAGCCGATTGATGTTTCTCTCTTTTTTTGTAAAAATCAATAAAAATATATCCTTGGGTGAGGATAAACAAATACATTAAAAAAATACTGTTACAGATTTTTTATGAATTAAAACAATTTTCAGTGCATTAAAAAAGCCACTGTATTAATATCATTTGTACTTGAAGTCAGTTTTTCAGTTGGTAAGTGTACATATGCATTCTTTTAAGTAAAGTTATATACATGTGAGGAAGGTAATTGTGCTCTAAGCTGCATGTTACTGAACTGCTGGCATATTAATCACCAATCACTATTGATTGAGAACCACTGTGGTTAGACCTGATGTTGGCAGAACCTTTTATATAATTTTTCAAAAAGCTTTCATGCGCCCGGCTGGGCATGGCTCAGCGGTTGAGCGTCGCCCTAGGATCCAGGCGATTGGGGTTCGATTCCCGGTCAGGGCACATGCCCAGGCTGCGGGCTCGATCTCCAGTCAGGGGCGTGCAGGGGGCAGCCGATCAGTGACTCTCTCATCATTGATGTTTCTATCTCTCTTTCCCTCTCCTTTCCTGTCTCTGAAATCAATAAAGATATATTAAAAAAAAAAAAAGAAACAAGAAAAATTTCTAATAAACTATCTATCCCTACAACTTAAAGAATTAGAAAGTGAATAGTNTAGCCCTGACTTGGTAGTTCAGCTGGTTGGAGCATTATCCAGATGCACCAAGGTTGCGGGTTCGATCTCCTGTCAGGGCACATACAAGAATCAACCAATGAATGTGTAAATAAGTGGAACAACAAATAGATGTTTCTCTCTCCCTTGCTCTAAAATCAATAAAGAAATTTAAAAAATTTAAAAAGTTTAACCTTATAAAATTACCAATATTGGGCTGATTTTTCACCTATAAGAACAGCAATTCCATTCTGGTTCAATGTAATAATTTTAAAAGGGAAGCAATGTGGCAAAGTGGAAAGAACTTTGCAGTAGGAATCAAAAGACTTTGGTTCTGGTCCCACCTCTATACCTAACTGTTAATGTAAACTTGGGAAAGTGACTTCCTTCTGAGCTTTATTTTTCATATTTGTGAGATGGACCTGATTATACTTGCTTTATCTAATGTACTCTCAGATTGGTTAAGTGACTTGAGTCTAGTTTTCTTTCTGAGGATGCAGGATGGGATACTCCTTGTCCATTGGTCTTTAACTATAGCATGTTGGAATGTGACTTGGTGGAGAGAGGGGTGATTTGTGGGGTATGAAGTAAATAAAACTTAAAGGAGCTATAAAGAAAGATTCAGAATTGGGGACCAGGGAGGGCAAGTAAAGGGGTAAGAGAGGAGGGAAGGCTTGGGCAGACAGACAGAATATTGATGTCTGAATTTCAAGAGTGGGAGAGATAAATATTGGAATAAAGATCGAAAATATTACATGGTTGTTTCTTAACAATCTTCTGTGTTTTCTTGTAGGGGATTTATGGGGCCCTTTGATCCTTTGTGTGACACTCGCATTGTAAGTACACATATTTCCTTTGTCATTTGAGATAGACTGGACTTTTTTTTGGAGTTTTAAAATTGAGGGGAATTTTGACGGATATTTTATTTATGACTTCTATGACATATTGTACTCCTTATGCATTTAAATCTAAAAAGTCAGGTAGCTCTCCAGATCAGTTCAAAGAGTGATGGAATTAAAAATGTAAAAATTATGTCTACCTCCATTTACCAATGACTTCATAGCCTGTTTTAGCCATTCTATTCAAACATTTATTTACTCTCATACACTTCCCTATCATTAAGTGAATTAAATATCTATAGGTTTAAGCACTGTTTATTTGTAAACATAATTCTTTTTAAATCTTACTAAAATATGAATGAGAATGAGAATATATTAGAGAGAAGTGGTAGAGTTCAGAGCAAGGGTCTCATTTCCAAGTGTGATGCTTTCCATATGCATTGTATGTAAAGGGAGACTCAGGCAAAAGAAGGAGAGCAAAGTTCCATTGGAGAGGGGAGTATAACGATAGGTAGAGTGGAAAAAAATACTGTACTAGGATTCAGTTCTTGATTCCCATCTTGACTACTAACAGCAAAGTGACTATGGGCTATTAATAACCAAAATTTGTATAATAATTTTTCCCAGAAAACTTTTAAATACCTTCTCTTATTTTATCCTTATAACAGGAAGTAAATGTTATTTTCCTTTCTCAACAAACAAACTTAGGTTCATAAAGAGTGAGGATGAACAGTAGTAGACCTGGGATTTAACCTCAGGTTTCCTCGACTGCCCATTCTCTACCTCTGTGAATATTTTACATCTCTTCCTGCATAACCTCTCTGGGTTTTCTTTATCTATAAAAGGGGATGGTTGGGGATCCTTTCAAAGCCTAACCTATTATGATTCTAAATTCAACAAGCTTCTTACTGGCTTCTCTACCCAGTTTTTAATGTGTCAAGCATATGCTAATTTAGGTAATATCAGAATGCTATTTTTTATGCCTTTTTAAAAATTTACCTTTATTGTAGAAAGTATTACAGGGGTCCCATTTTTTCCCAATTGACCCCCTCCACTTCGTTCCCAACCCCTCCCCAGGCCTTCACCCTGTTATTAACTGTGTCCATGGGTTATGCATATATGCATATAACTTCTTTGGTTAATCTCTTTCCACCCTCCACCCCCTTCCCTCTTTCCTCTGAAATATGATCATCTGTTGCATGCACCAATGTCTCTGGATCTATTTAGTTCGTCAGATTCTCTTGTTTATTAGCTTCTTCTTAAAGAAGACCCTTCAACTTTTCCTGTAGTGCTGGTCTGGTGATGATGAACTCCTTTAGCTTTTTCTTATCTGTGAAGCTCTTTATTTGACCTTCAATTCTAAATGATAGCTTTGCTGGGTAGAGCAATCTTGGTTGTAGTTGCATGTTTTTCATCACTTTGAATATTTCTTGCCACTCCCTTCTGGCCTGCAAAGTTTCTGTTGAGAAATCAGCTGACAGTCGTATGGGTGCTCCCTTGTAGGTAACCAACTGCTTTTCTCTTGCTGCTTTTAAGATTCTCTCTTTGTCTTTAACCTTTGGCATTTTAATTATGATGTGTCTTGCTGTGGGCCTCTTTGGGTTCCTCTTGTTTGGGACCCTCTGTGCTTCCTGGACTTGTAAGTCTATTTCTTTCCCCAGGTAGGGGAAGTTTTCTGTAATTATTTTTTCAAATAGGTTTTCAATTCCTTGGTCTCTTTCTTCCCCTTCTGGCACCCCAATAATACAAATGTTGGGCCTCTTGAAGTTGTCCCAGAGGCTCCTTATACTATCTTCATATTTCTGGATTCTTTTTTCTTTTTGCTCTTCTGGTTGGGTGTTTTTTGTTTCCTCATGTTCCAAATTGCTGATTTGATTCTCAGCGTCCTCTACTCTACTGTTGATTCCCTGTAAATTATTCTTCATTTCAGTTCCTGTAGCCTTCATTTCAAATTGGTACTTTATTATGTTATCGATTTTCTCAGTTATTTCCCTAATAGTCTGCTTAAACATCCTTATAAACAAAATTCTGAACTCTGTATCTGTTAGCTTGCTTGGATCTATTTCATTTAGTTCCTCTTCTAGAGATTTCTTCTGTTCTTTCCTTTGTGACATGTTTCTTTGCCTCCACATTTTGGCTGCTTCCAGGTGTTTGTTTCTATGTATTAGGTAGAGCTGCTATGTCTCCTGGAATTTGTAGAGTGGCTTTGTGTAGTAGGTGTCCTGTAGGGTCCAGTGGCTCAGCCTCCCCAGTCACCTGGGGTGGGCCTTCTAGGTGCTCCCTTGTGTGGGCTGTGTGCACTGTCCTGTTGTAGTTGAGCCTTGGTTGCTGTTGGCATCCCTGGGAGGAATTTATCCCCAGGCCAATCAGCTGTGAGGACCAGCTGCAACTGCAGCCAAAGAGCTGCTGTGCTGGATCAGGATTTACTTCAGTGGAGCTTTGGTGTTCACCAAGTGCGCCCCTTGAGTGTCACTCGTGCATGTGGTAGGGTTGTAATCCAGTGTGCTCCAGTCTCACCTCCAGGTGTACTGTTTCTGGGCCCTCGGGGGAGGTGCAAAGTCAGCCTCTGCTAGTGCCTTACCCAGGGCCACCCAGCGTGAGCTCCACAGCAAACCATAATTGGCTGCTACTTGTGCTGGGCTTGGTGTTGTCCAGGAGAGGCCCAGCTATGAACCAATGCAGGCTGCCGCTAGTGCCAGGCCTCGGGCTGCTTATCAAGCTATATGGGGCCCACTACTGCTTGTTTGAGAGATTTTAGGAAAGTCTTAAGTATGAGGCTTGAGATGCCACTTGCATAGAAAAGCCACTGAAAATGGCTTGGATGAGTTTGCAGGTGGGGAGGGGCGGGGCCAAATGTGTGAGTCAGGTGCTGGAGATTCAAATATGGCGCCTGCCTGCCGGCTATGTGTGGGGAAGACTTGCCACATGAGCAATGGCCTCTTCCTCCTTTTTTGCCTGGGAGAAAGCCACCCCTCCACCTCTCACCCCAATTTCAGGCAGGTTAGTTCCTCCCCAAATGTCCCAGGTTCTTTTCAAGCTGCCCCCCGGTGCTGGGGCTCAGAGGAAGCGTGTCTGAGTGAGTCCGTGCGCGGGCCCTTTAAGAGGAAAGCCTGGGACTCCCACAGCCTCCTCGACCCTCAGCCACATTCCCTGCTGGTTTCACAGCCAGGAGTTGTGGCAACATCTCTTCCCAGCCCTGGATCCCTGGGCTTGGGGCCTGATGTGGGGCTGGGACCCCTCGCTCCTCCGGGAAACCTCCACCGCCCAGATGTCCCTCCGGGGTTTCAACCGCAGCACCGGGTGTGGCCCCCGGGCCCAGTCTCCAAGATTCAGCCCCAATCCACCCACGTCTCCACCCCTCCTACCGATCTCAATGCTTGTTCAGTTCCCTGGTTGTAGGGCTTCTGTTCAGCTAGATTTCAGGAGGTTCTGAGTGATAGTGTTTTGTATTTTAGTTTTAATTTTGATGTGGTTGTGGGAAGGGGCGGGTGCAGCTGTTAACCTACGCGGCCATCTTGTTTCTCCTATTTTTTATGCCTTTAATAACCACAACAAGGAAATAATTCATTGCCTTGGTGGGAGGGCTTATATTAGAAGCTCTGAGCGTATACTTTTTTTAGTTTTCAAAGACTAACCTTAGAGATTATGTCATTTAACCCCATTATTTTCAGAGAAGCATACTGGAGCCCCAAGACATCAAGTGATATTCTCCATTTTACATATCTAGTGACAGAACTGGAATCAGTATCTGACTTTTCTGTCTTCCAGGCCAGTTCATTTTTTTTTTTTTTTTCATTATGCCATGCTGAAGCAGTAGGGATTCCAGACAACACATGATCATGAGTGCTGGCATTCTTTGCATCAGATTGTCAGGACTCAGGACAGAGTATGTACAACCATAGAATACAAAAGCCTGTATTGGCAAACAGCGTAGCAGGGTAAGATTTACTGTGTGACTTCTCTATACTATGTAATAAGAAGACATTGTGAACTTGATGTTACATGTTGTTTTTCTGAAAAAATAACACCAAGTCCAAGTGTCCTAAGTTCAAAATTCAAGATAGTTTACATGTGTAAAATTCTTAGACAAAGAAAGGATATTTAAGTGACTGTTTGACTACTCAGTGTGAAAGCAAAGTCTTTTAGTAATAATCTGTATAATTTGATTTAAAAAAATCAACAACTAAATAGGTTTATAGACTGTTTCCATTTTAAATGTCAGAACTAAAACCTTAACCCAGGGATTACAAATTCACATGTATCTGAGGACTAGAGGAGTAAGTTGAATGCATGCATTGTGAATTGGTAACTGGAAGCCCTTTGTGAAGGAACCTGCTGCCATGTCAACTGCACCTGATTGTTGTCATGTAGGAATGCCAGCTCAGTGTTAGAAACTCTTCTGATTTTTCAAGAAAATCAGAAATAGGCCCTGGCTAGGTAGCTCAGTTGGTTAGAGCGTCATCCAGATAAGCCAAGGTTGCAGGTTCCATCCCTGGTCAGGGCACATACAAGAATCAACCAATGAATGCATAAATAAGTGGAACAATAGCTCATTATTTCTCTCACTCTCAAATCAATAAATAAAAGAAAATGTAGAAATACGTTATTTTTATGTGAAACCTCTCAATTTTAAAATAATGTCAACTTGAATTTAAAAGCATTTCAAGTATAGTATGGACCAACAACCTTACGTCTGTGAGCCACATTTGACCTTTCAGTTTATAACCTCTGCTTAACCAAAAAAAGATCTTCAGTAACACATTTAAACATTCCAACAAAGCCAAATGGAGCACCTCTTGTACTCCTGAGACCTTTGGAATTCAAAAGAAGGGGGCCTTGACAAATCCTTCTGGAATTTTCTTTTCGCACAGCCTACATATTACAGATCTTCGGGTGAGGTGTAGGGCAGCTCCCTGATTCAAACTTTGAGAACCCAAGCCTTAACTTTATTGCCCTAAGTAAAAGTTTAGACAATTCTCATTCCATTTCCTTGTCACAGAATGCTTCAGAGAGGCTCTGCAGATAGCGAAAATGATGGAGGGCCCCAGTTTGCAGAAGTGTTTGTCATTATCTGGTTTGGTGCAGTTACCATCACCCTCAACTCAAAACTTCTTGGAGGAAACATGTGAGTATTATTAAAATTCATCCTTTTTCATTTGCTAGGTAGCATATCTTAGATTTTTTATGGAGTCTGGCTAGTTAGGTAATTTTTGAAAAGAAAAATCAAAATAAATGAAGGACAAAGATAATGTTCTCTTAAAACCACTCAACCTGGTTGAGTTAAATTATCTTAAAATTTCCAGAGTCCTTTGATAAGCTTCAGATGTTCTCTCCAGCCCTAAAATCATAGGCAGAATTTTTTTGTTAGAGGATTATGTTCATTTTGGGGAACAGATGGTCCATAGCTTTCAACAAATTCTCAAATAGGTCTATAAACTGGAAAAGATTAAGAAGTACTCTCTTAGAGGTTCAGTGGGAGAAAGAGATCTTTAGGAATTAGAGTAGATCATTTGATATCCTAGATAGCTGACTCTTAAGGAGTTTAAAAGGAGAGAAGGAAGAGTATGGAGAGAAAAGTTAAAGCATATGCTAATATAGAGGCCTAGCCTCATAAAATCAATGTTAGGGTATAGGTATTATATAGAAATCTGTGTAATAACTATCATGATACAAGTCAGCTATATTTGTGATTTTTATGGATGTATGTTGTTTTTTAGATCTTTTTTTCAGAGCCTCTGTGTGCTGGGTTACTGTATACTTCCCTTGACAGTGGCATTGCTGGTTTGCCGGCTAGTACTTTTGGCCAAGCTAGGACCAATAAACTTCATAGTCCGGCTTTTTGTGGTGATCGTGATGTTTGCCTGGTCTATGCTAGGTAAGAATGTACTTAACTTTACAATAGCAAAGCAGACAAAAGCATGCATTAGAGATGAAGACCAGATGAGAAGCAGTGTAACTCCTAACTCACATGTGAGTAATATGATTCTTGCCTATATTGTCCATAGAACCCTCTGTTCTTTTTTTTTTTTTTAAATATATCTTTATTGATTTCAGAGACAGGAAACGAGAGGGAGAGAGAGATAGAAACATCAATGATGAGAGAGTCATTGATCGGCTGCCTCCTGCATGCCTCCAACTGGGGATCAAGTCTGCAACCTGGGCATGTGCCCTGACTGGGAATCGAACCCCGATCGCCTGCATTCTAGGTCGACGCTCAACCGCTGAGCCATGCCCGGCAGAACCCTCTGTTCTTAATGGGCATTGATAGATATGGTGTCCATCTTATCGGAGTTGGATACCTGGACTTCTAAGATGTGGGGAGTCCTACCTTTTTTTAAAAATCCTTAAATATTGCACTGGGTTAGAAAAGGAGATTACACCAGACCTAGCTCAGTCCTGGCATATATAGGATGCATAGGTGACTTGAGAAATGATGGGCCTTTCGCTGACAATCATAATAAAAACAATAGCTAGCATTTATAGATTGCTAATCATAGGTCAAGCACTATTGTAAGTGCTTATGTGTATTATCTCATTTACCCCTCACAATGACCCTGATAAATAAAAACTATTATTACTAGTTCCATTTTTAAAAATACATCTTTATTGATTTCAGAGAGAGCAAGGGAGAGGGAGAGAGAGATAGAAACATC